GTACTCACCTATTTATAGGTGAATTATCTATGCATTTTGTGTGAGAAGATTATTCAAAAAGCACAATGATCTTAACGGTAATTCCTTTAGTGGTCAGGGACATTTAATCATTGAAGATCAAATCTAGAATATTTGCAGATAAGTCGGGCTTCTAACATCCAAAAATGGAATTTTAATCAAGACTCATGAAAAAGGGAAGCACAGTAATAAGTTGCTCTAAAAATTTGCAGAAACCAAAAGACCTCCCATCCAAATTTAAACAATGACTATTCACATCAAATAGGAAAGTAATAGATACGTCACTCTTCTGTAGCGTAAATTTGAAGAAATTTTTAAGTTATAAATGGTGAAAACAACAAACAGATAGAAAAACATTTATACCTTTTAATTGAACTCTGGTTGATTTAGTTCTTTCAGATTGAAGTTTTTCCAAATGCGGAGCAATCAACCTATCCAATTTAACCACCCAAAGCGCAACTGCCGAGGTTGTTTTCGGCATAGTGTGAAAATATATAATAATCTCATCAAAAGATGCACTTGAACATATAGATAATGTATTCTGATACAACCATTCCTCATTTATTGCAGTGACAAAATCAGAAACAACCTACCAAGCAGAAAAAACAGAACGAATTCATAAGGACTTTGACATGTAGAAAGACGTGTTATAAACAAGTGCATGGCAGCAGCAAAAAGGTAAAGTAACCTGTAGAAGTTCAGGCAAAGAAGAAGTGCGCCGAAGTCTCTTCTCCCAAAGCTTATGAGCTGAGCATTTCCATCCCCCAGAAAATGCCACTGGAGGCATGCATCCCTAAAGCAACTCATCAAAATTTATCTCCATCAAATTTGAAAGAACTTACAAAAAACAAGTTTTCATGAAAAAGTAAAAGATGTTTGAAAAAGAATTTTTTATCGATGAATCTTAATAGAACAGGCTATCCTAAGGGTCATAATTGCCCCTAGATTATTTACATGGGAACATTTTAGTCCAAGAGCCTATAAAAATGTCAAATTATTCCTCTAACTCTTCTAATATAGGCCGAAAAAGTCCCACTCTAAGACTACCTAAGCCTTTTTCTAAAAGAGTATGAAAACTAAATTGACAATTTTATAAACTGTCACCAAAATGACCAGCGCATAACCATTTTCACACTTCTCAAAATGATTATCTGACAGAAAAACACAAGCTCATACCTCAATCGAATGAATTGCCGCTTTTAGCGCTTGCAACGGAGAAGGCAGAACCCTATAGTTTGGAAAATCCCTCTCGTCATCCGTCTCCCTACAGTCACTACATGAATAGCATATCTCTCTTCCAGATCAATGCTTATTTCAAATGTAGAATGACAAGCTTTACAGTGTTTCTCATCCCTCCAGTATAAATCATGGCAACTCTCACAATGAGTTAAACATTCCATATATGGTATTCTGTAGTTTTTCACAGCATTAAGACTGGAATAAAAGGAACACCAAATCCATTGATCATATGCTTTCAAACGGTCCAATTTTTGTTTCTTTTCGTTAGAGCTGCTTGCGCATTCAAGAGCTAAAGAAAAAGTTGGTGAGTAACTATCTGTCGAATGTGCTGATGCCAAGATGTTATCGATATCTGAATTAGGTGAAAAACCATCGCTATTTGAATCGAGTTCAGATAGATCAGATCCTTTTTTTTGTCTGCTTCTATATTCAACGGAGAGGAAATCATCCATGGCTTTACAAAGAAATGCCTCCCGCTTCTCCAACGATGCGAATAGTTGTGCTTCCCTCGTGCCCCTAAAGTCCAAAGCTAATAATAGATCACGCAAAGCCTGCAATTGCGTTCCATACTGGACATCAGGAATAGGGAACCAAAAATAGCCACAAAAAAAGAAGATTAACATACATATCACTCAATTCACATATATTTACATATCTAGCACCTAAACTTCAATTTGTAGATCTATGCCACCTTACCTATGCATGAATGGGTATATTTCACTTTTTAAAGTTAAACTAGTGGTATCATTGATGTGATATGAAAGTTTGGGTGGTATAAATGTGGACACGTAAATACAAAAGATTAAGTGGTATGCATGTCAATGCCCAACCAAACAAAAAGAGCGAAGTGATTGCATAAACAACCTGTTTTGTTTCAATCACTTGCCAATGACCATCTTCTGAAGACTCAAAATAAATGCGTCGATGACCTGGATCAGCTGCATCACAGGGGCCAAGAAAAAGCCAGTAATTATTGTACCTGCGATCAGATCCCAAATGAATAGATTTCAATGGATGCACATTAAGTGGCGTGCCTTCAGTTTTGCCAGAACACTGTCTCTTCTTAGACACCGCAGAAGACAAAATAGAAGAACCAATCTGAGAGAAATCTCTCAGCACACTATCTGCAGGTACCTCCCGAACGTTGCTAGAAGTAGAATTAATTTTAGAAGATTGCCTTTTTATTTTTGCTCCTGATCCAATATATTGAACACAGGGAGTAATTGCAGATATGGCCCCTTCTAGATTCTACACAGAAATAGAAGAACATTTATGCTCATGATCTACACAGCTTCACGAAGAAAAAAAATATAAAAATAAATAAATAGAAAGGCAGCATGAAAACTTTAACTAAGATATGTACACAGAAGAAGAAAATGTAAAAAATAAACTCAAAACAATGCAAAATAAAACATCTTTCCAGTTTTCAATATGCCCTGACTTTGCAAAAGTTTTAATGAGCTAGAAATCACCTAATATTATAACATGCCGCTGAAAAATATTAATTAGCCATTCTTCATTGGAGTCTCATATCATTACTGACTGAGGTCATATGCCAGATGATGACTATGGTTTAAAATTTTAAAATTGAAAACATACTATTAGAAAAAAAAAAAGCGGATTTTCCTTCTACTCATTCAATCATACCAAAATGAATCTTTCCATAATCTACATAACATGCTATGGTTCAGATTGCTGAATAATGAACAAGCATATCAGACAATTAACAAGAATTGAATACTATCATCACCGTGTAAACCTCAATGAAAAATATAATTCAATGGCCAACATACAAGTATTCAGGAAAAATCTACTAATATGAAAATCTCCAAATTAGAAATGTAGATAACAATTATTAAAATAAATAAATAACTATTGATTCCTCTGAAGGTGTTAAGATGCTGACATTACTTGAAATATTAAAATTTAATAATTTTTCTTAGTACAGATCTTACATTGGAACAAGCACCAATAAGATCTACAAGAGCAACCAAAGCATCTAGCTTCTCCCCGGTACTTAAATTTGAATAGTCACCTTCCACCAAACCTTGAACCCATGCTTCCCCAGCGTAGCTTTCATCAATCACAGAACATTCAATCAACTTTTGTTGTGCATTGTCGTGCACGTTCTTAAATTTCACAATCCTTTGTCCACATGTCCCCAAGCTCTGCTCCTCGAAATCATCAGTTCTGCTACTTCTATAAGCATCACTATATTCATCCTCCACACTTCCTGAATCATCATCCTCAGACTGTGTACCATCTTTATCTTTAATTTGGTGATTACAACGAAGACGATATGCAGCAGGTCCTATTTTTTCAAACAATGTAATGTCACTTGAAAGTGTGAATTTTATTAGTTCTTCCTGCTTTTCTGTCGTGCTCGCTAAGTCCAATGTAACAATCTGAAAGTTTAAATAAAAAATCCTCGAACAGGTCCTCAGACAAGAAAATCATATTACTCGTCTCTAGGAATAAACAAGATGAAAAATTTACATACATGCCACTCAATTCATATGAATTTATATATCTAACACCCAAACTTCAATTTTTACATGCAAACCACCTTAACTATGTATGAAAAAGTGCATTTCATCCTTTAAAAGTTAAAATGGTGGTATTTTTTATGTGATGTGAAAGATTTGGGTGGTATAAATGTAAAAAGTAAATTTTAGGTGCCCGATATGTATATGCATAAGAATTGTGTGGTATGTGAGTGAATGCCCCAAACACGATTACCATAACTATACCTGAGGCATTTTTACTAGCTCGGAGACTTTCAAACCAAGGCTTTCTTGCTTCGATAAGATTTGAAACAATTCACCTTTTAGGGTATGAGGACGCAGACCACAATTTTCTAACAGATCTCTTTCCTGCAAAATGACCAGATCGTTGATTTGTCATCAAAGATGAAAAATGAAATCCTTCCATGAACGCATGAACAATTGTGAATGAATGATGTCTGCATTGTTAAACTAAAACAATCAATGTGGATTATTAAACCATTCCATATTCAGAAACTTACAGAAAAATAATAACCGGGAAACTTCATACATGCTAAAATAGCGTATATTGAAACTGCAGGTGGCACTCTGGCAAAATATCTGAATTGCACATGCCAGGATTTTAAAATTTCAAGACTAGATTGAATTTAAGGCTGTCCAAATGAACTATCTCCCTCAAGAACATGCGCAAAAGGAGCAGACATGAAGCTAAAATTCTTCATAAAAGCGAAAACTTCACGTGTTTATGAATGATTGTGTTATAGCCCAATCTAAAGATAACATAAAATTTTATATTTATTAGGATGGGCATATAACTTTCTTGTTGTGGGACTTCAAAAAGTTCACGTGCATGATCCTCCAAACTGCAATTATAAAGTAGGATATCATTGAAGCATATCACAACAAGTTGTTTCCAATAATAATTTGTGCACTTCATTCATCAAGCGCATAATAGTGCAAGCATTGGTTAAACTACAAGGCATCATCATCTGCTCACATAATCCATCTCATGTTTTGAAAGTCATCTTTGATTCACCTCCCAACTTCATTTATATATGGTGCTAACCACTATCTAAGACAATTTTTTGGGGGAAAAAATGCTCAATGTATATGATCAAATATGTCATCTAGTCTAGAAATTAGAAAACAATATTCTATCATAATTTCATCACTAACTTAACAATCTATATGCAAAACCCATGCGTCGACTTGTTTGTACAACTAGCAAAACAAGCACCAGAAAAGGATTAATGCTTTCTAGAAGTACAAATTTAATTAGAAGTCAATATTCTTAATTTTATAATTCTTATTACTCCTCGTATCTCATATGATAGGTCAAAAGATGGGGAAAAACAACACCAAAGACAATCAATCATATGAGGCACATCTCACATGAAAGCACCCGATGCGACATTTCGTTTCCGCTGAACAGAAGACCCGCAAAAGCTTTGCAGTACAGCAAGACGGGAACGAGGGACAGCAGAGGCAGGATCGCGATTCCGCGCGTGGGAACAAGTAGCGGATTGCGAACCCTCGCAATCCAGGGCTGCTTCACGCACCTTCCACACTTGTCTTCTTCTTGAAAGGTTTTTCTTCTAGATTCTTCTTACCTTCCCACTCCCCTACCTTTTGTGTAAACTTGGGAAGCTATAAATAGTTGTCCACTGTGTGTGTAGGAAGTAATTCTAGTGAAGTTGTCTTCTAATCTCCTATGTGGGGCCCCTTTCCCCTTAGTGGCCTATATCCGAGGAGGTGGTGGTGCTTCGGTTGTATTCTCTCCAAGATGGTGAACGTATCCTCCCTTTCTACCGGTACCAAACCGTCTCCTCTGCACTCCTCAACCCCGAACTCTCCCTCTGTCATCCCGACACCCAGTCATTTCCCTTCCAACAGATTATTGCAATTGTTTGCCTACCTAACTCTCTTAAAACCCCCTCCAAACAAGCCACTACCGTTATCGACCACCTAAGAACCTTTCCTATTTATTGTCCCTACAGTTCCATGCATTCCCTTCACTACCACTCGCCTTCCATGGCTGTCATCACCCCTTCCAATCATCTTGATCCCTCTAGCCGACCTCCACCATCCATTAGGAATGCTTGGTAGTGTCGTTTTATGTCTGTGTCGTAATTTTCGTTCGAGTCAAGTTGTAACTCTATTTTAATATTAATGAAAATTTGTATTTTCTATTTTCACAGTTTTCAGTACTAGTTTCTTTATCATAATCCTGAGAATAATTTTGTGGGAAACACATCCTCAAATTTTAGCAATAGTTGAACTTTTTATGAATGTACTCCTCTCCTTGATATCCTTCCATAACCATGGGGGCATAAGTTAAAGAAGTTTCTTGCATTGCTTTAGGAACATAAATTTAGTAGCTATTGTATCAATTTCAATCTTGTCCTCAATATCATCATTCATTGCACCAAAACCACTTTTTCACCTTCAAATTTTATGATACGAGTGCTTTAAAATCATCATATTGGCTAGCTTATCTCATTCCTTTAACAAAACTAAGATAATTTGTAGAGTGCAACGAGTTTCCCTTAAATAGATAGATTTAATTTTTCAATCATGTGCTAGAGACAACATTTTCACAATTTCTCAAATTAATAAAAATATTGCACATTTAAAACAAATTAGGTCAAAGCCAATATAACTCTGGATCTATAGTAGCGCTCAAAATTCCACGGACACAAAAAATTCTCCATCATTCGCATATACTAATTGCTCATCACCATCAGTGTCCTCTACTTTATTATCTTCCTCGAGTGGGACTTCAACTGAGGGCACAACACACTGATTTGGAAAATATGGCAAATTATGCCCAAATTCTAAGAGCATCTAAAACATTTTGTGTGTGTTCAAAACATTTGATGTGGTAACATTATTACTTTCTAACACTTGTGAACATATTGAAAAATTATTTTTACGAAGCCTTCAGGGTGTATCATCATGGGTTTCCATACCAATCCTTTTTATGAAAGTCAAGTCCTAAACCAAAATAAACTTCTTAATAGTGGTTAGCAATCATTCTACCCTTAGAGCTAATTTAGTGGCATAATATAAAGTTCAATATTACTATAATTGTATGATATTTACAATAAAAAGATGCCAACCACCAATGAATCGAGTAATGATAAGCTCCTCGAGTTCAACATGACATATTTCAACACTAGTTGTTCAAATTTAACTTCATACTTCCCTGCAAACAAACTTTATTGTTGAAAATTATGAATTTTAAGGAACATAACTTGCTTAAAATATAGAGAAAATATTTCTTACATTGTACTTTCTTCATTTTTTTTGTGATTTAGTTGTCTTATTCTTATCATCACTATCCCTTGTTCATTTAAAATTCTCCCACTAAATGAAAAAAAATTTCTTTGACATTATGGCCTTCATATTTTAAGGGTTTATAAGTGGTACATATTTATCTTCAAATATATGTTCCACTGTATATAGCCAATATATGAAATCATTGGGATTTAACCACCCTTGAAAGCTAGAATGTACCCAAAATCTTGATAGCATCTTATTTGTTCCGTTCAATAACAAGGTTTATCCTAGAAAAATTCTTTATGCATTTGACAAAGAAGGTTCTCCATCTTACAGTTTCATAGTTTTCATTCAATTGAGATGAATGTAATAGTCATTTATGCTTTTCATATGCTATTAATTAATTTTAAATTATTGAATTTAACGTCATAATTATTACATGGCTAGCTCTTAGTTTGGCTGGGTCGATTTTCCTGAACAACATTCAAAACATAGGGCCCTAAAATTTAAATGGCATCATCATAAAGAAAGGTAAAATAAACAAAGATAATTATTCAACTACTATCTCAGTTGCTTCATAACAACAAAAATCCAAAGTACCATAAAATCTAAAGTATAAAGTTTACATCAGGATCTGCCTTAAGCCCATATCTTTTTGCTTAAGTTGTGAATGTCTTATTGGAAACTCACAGAAGGATGTACTTTGGTGTATGTTTTTTTGCTGATGATATCCTTCTTGTGGATAAGACTATAGAGAGTTCAAGAAAAACTTGATTTATGGAGGTCAATTTTAGAATCGAAAATATTTCATTTGCGTACATCTAAAACTGAATACATAAAATATAATTTTAGTAGGAGTCTAGTGGCGAGATTAAAACAATCAGTAATCAACTCATTAAAAAAGGTAAATGTTTTAGATATATACGGTTTATTATTCAAAATGATGGTGATATTGATGGGGATGTTATTTGTAGAATTCAAGTTGGATGGTTCAAGTGGAGGAATGCAAAGTACCTTAGAAAAATACCACTTAGAAAACGAAGACGATAAAAACAACAACGAAACTTCCTCCCACTAAGTGGGGTCGGTTACATGAATCATTTTTCTCCATTGTGTCATATTGAGTTTCATATTTTCATTTAATTCTAATAAAAAATACCACTTAAACTTAAAAGGAAATTTTTAAAATGGTGGTAAACCCTGCAATGCTTTATGGCGCAGAATGTTGGCCTATAAAAGAGAAGCATAAAAATAAGGTGAGTGTTGTTGAGATGAGAATGCTTGGGTGGATGAGTGGCTTTACACTTAAAGATAAAATGCAAAACAACCATATCCATGAAAGGGTAGAAGTAGCTCCAATGACAAACCAGATTAAAGAGAGTCGCCTTAAATGATTTGGTCATATTAAACTTAGACCAACTAATGACCCTTTTAGGAAAATAGATGTTTTAGATTTGCTTATGTTAAAAAAAAAGTCGAGGTGGACTAAAAAGGCTTGGGTATATTGTATAAAAAAGAATTCATGTAGCTGAACTCAATTAGTGTGATAAAGGTTCGTTGTTGTTGTTGTTGTTGTAAAGTTCTGTGCACAATAAAATTGGACACAGGAATATCTCACTAAATATCAAACTTATTTCCAAGCCAAGAAAGATTGGATACACATACTACCAACTACATCTTTTGCTTTAGCAATGAACTTTTACATAAAGGCGCAAAATTAGAAAACAAAACAAAAAACTTTGGCTCTGGTTTCTTAGAAAGGAAAAAGAAAAAACAAAATAGAACAAAAAGAAAAAAAATGGGTACCCAAACTAACACATCAGCAAGGTTTAGCTCAACTCATCACATCTTATACTCCCACCTCTTGCAAACTTAAAAGATTAGAAAGTTTTTATAGTTTATTATCTAGTAGTTGGGACCCGTAACATTAGAACTAAGATTTGCCTTTTATTGATGATATTCTTACATGTTCACAATCTATCCTATAATTTAGTACATGTAAGCAAAATATTCAAAAAATATGACTATAACAATCTTTTCTCACAAAATTATTGTTAATTTTAGATCAATAATAGAGGAAGAAGATTGGC